TCGTTTTTTGTATACAATGATATAATATCATTGGATTCAAATTTAATTCCATCCATTACAGTAACCCACTTGTAACCTACTGTACAGCAGAGCGACATMCACGACTTACCCGCTTTTTTTTTTTTAAATTTATTTCAGAACAATATACAAAAAATCATATTATATTTAACACTTTTTATCAATATAAAGTTTTTACCTTTTTAATTGACGACATTTTTAATTTCATATCCAAAACAATAATATTGTTCTTAGAATTTAAAAATCAGAATAATCAAATGTCTCTTTTGGATGTCAAATTGAAAATGTTTGTACTGTAATTCAAAACAATACGAAAAATAATTTGAATGTCATTTACTCATTTGTAATGAATTAAAATTAAGTAGAAGAAAAAAATATTAACACAAACAGTAATATTATACAAAACAATGAGTGTCAATATTTAATACATTCACCTAACGTACTCAATTAAACAAATAAAATAAAATAATAAATATAATACTTTTATTACTATGTTGATGTCTATCATTTAATATAGGCTATATTAATTTATATCATATTTAATTTTCTGTAATTTTTACCTGATTTATGATGAAATTGGTTTTGAAATAGTTACCAATGGTGATTCGKGAAAAGTCTTGGTAGGAATATAATTTCTAAGGATKTAAGTTGTCTTACTATTTTAAAAATGATTTATAATTTAAAGCTTTTTATGAAACTATTAATTATTACATGAGATATATTTTTTTAATGACAGTGTATTTGACATGTCTATTATAATCAGAAAAATATTGCGTTAAAAATTATATAGGTATTTCATTGTTCTATAATCAATTAATATTGAATAGGTAATTCAATATTCTAATATAATACTGTGTATTATAGCAACTTGTAGTTATTAGTTAAATTATTAATTATTATGTACCTATTAGTCCTATTACATACATATAGTATYATAGTTTAAGTTTATAAGTTTATAATATGCCTTTGTATACATTCATAAACGTGTTAATTTAAAAACTAAGCTAATAGTAAAGTATACTCGATTTCGTCATGTCGATTGGAATTCAATAAGTTTTAATAAAACTAAAACGAGTTGAAGTGTCTGCTCTACATATTAAAATAATGATTTTATTGAATGGTGGGCAATTCACCATAAATATCTTGTTTAATTTAGTTTCCTTTTTACGGTATTTATAAACTTTTAACTTTTAATAATGTTTGTTTTTAAATAATTTATTTTGGTTATGAATATATGTATACATATATATTTATTTGTAATTCAAGTTTAAAAAAATATCTAAAAACAATGTAGGGTCAAATGGGGTAATTGTAAATAAATTTTGTTACTTTTTAATATTTTTTTTATTTTCTAAATTATAATTAACAATACATTTTCTTTCTCATCAAAACCATTCATAAACATATCCTTGGCTTACAAAATTTCCTACACAAGACCAGAATATTAAATCACTTAAGAAAAAAAAAAAATTTACATATGCCCCATTCATTTACATTTGCCCCATTTATTTGGGGTAAATGTAAACAATGATTTCACGTTATAAGAATGAAATAGAATCTGGATCTGGGGCATATGTAAACAACCTGTATTACCTTTTATTTAACGTATTATCACATAACCTCAAAATGTTATAAGTTTCATTGATTCACTACATCAATATACGTTCATACCTTCATGTTATTAATACGAAATACATTAAAAATGATTGGTTAATTTCTTATGATTATTATTTACAAATGCCCCGATTTATAATTACCCCATTTGACCCTATTATTATTCCTTTCTACTTGCTTACTGTATCCAACGTAATTATATTGTCAAATTCATAAATTGAGTATAATTTGCTTAAATTTAAATATATTGTATTAAACAATGAAACTTCCATGCTACAAAGTTTCACGAAAGCACAACATTTCGTTTTATAGAGAGATTCGTTAAATATAAGATTTAAAATAATTTGGTTCTCAAAAATATTTTGTGAAACAGAAAAWGTTATTAGATGGAAAATTCATTATATATTTTAATGTCGTTATCATTATCATCGTTATAWAAATTAGATATTTCATGAAATACAAAATTTGTCAAGTGGCATTATTATAATGATAAATAATAATTATAACAATATATTTAATCATCATATAATAAAAAAAACAATACAATAAAAATACAAATTAATTTTACATATGATTAAAGACCTTACAAAATGCGATTAGTAAATGAGTTCAAAACGATGAACAACAAAAGTAGTGTTAATGGTATACAATACAAATTACTATTAATACAATTATTATAGGTTATAAATTATAATAATACATAATAAAGATAATAATACATCAATAATAATAGTGATTTTAATATCAGTGCTACAACTTACATGAAATTGGATTTTTATAAAATCAATATTATTTTAATTGATTAAACTGATTGATTTTACAAGAAGATTTTTGTTTTTAAATTTACTTATACCATCTAAGTTAATTTTTTTTACGTAAGTCAATAATAACTTTTATTTTTCCAAATTACTTATTTACTCTTAAATTATTCAGGCTATTTAAAGTTTTTGACGAGTATTATTGTAACAATTTACCAAGCTATGGTTTATAAGATGACAGATCAACTGTTGACATAATATATAAAATTTGTATAACAAAGAGATTTTAAATTAAAAATATGAACATTATGAAACTCATTTCTGTGGAATAATAATTTAGCTTTTTCAACATTATATGCATTGCAACCTCTAACATATTTAATTGCGTATTGTATGTTCCAACCCAGATTTTATAGTATAACTCAATAACTCATCAATGAGTATTATTATAGTGTTTGATTATAGCCTATTTTCAGGACTATCGCGTATTCGAAACATATTTTTTTTTAAATATAAAGTCGCAATTATTTTTCATGGACAATATTTTTTCTATACCTACGGAGAAGCAATAGAAGCATAGTAACATTTAATTCTAGGCAAATCCCTTATTAGTTATTCTATCCAACACTTGTATAATTTGAAGTATAGACGTGTGTGTGTGTGTGTAAGTGTGTAAGTGTGTAAGTGTTCGTGTGTATATTCATATTTCTTCGAAACGTGTTTATCACGATCTCCCATAGCGCGCCCGCGCTAAAATAAATGTCGTTGGACCGCTTTCATAACCCACTGACATAACGACCTTTCCATCTCGAAGGCAGGTACCGCCTCCATTATTATATGGTAAACATTAAACAGGTACCCCCGTCATTATTATCGTGTGTAGATTCATATGGGTTCATGTAATATATAAGACAGCTCCATATCATATTATATTCAATCATCAAGCACAGTGCCACAGTACTCAGTCGATCACTGTACAGTATACACACGGACGAACAGAYCACGAACTTCTAAAATGCAGGTAAGAATTTTTTTTCTCTCGAGTCTCCTCGACGACTTCTCACCTAAACCTTATGTTTTGGATATCACGTTTGGCATATGTCATTTATTATTAACAGGTAACGTTAGTCCTCTCATCGTTGCTGTTGGCCGTTGCGGTCAACGCCTACCCCGCACAAAGTCCTGAATCTAAGGCTGCCATCCTGCAYCAAGAACAAGAAGTCAACTTTGACGGAAACTTCAAGAACAAGTATGAAATAACAGTACAATTATCTTAGTAAACTACGTTTTTCGTTGTTGGTCTCTTGAAAATAATAATTGTTTTACGAGTTAGAATTTTGTCGGAGTGGTTTCAAAAATATTTTTTTTATCACATTATATTGACCATATCGTCCCAACTATATCATATAGGCTATAATATATATATTATCTCTTAGTTGCGTTTGTACATCACGTACGATAAATGAAACACAAACGATTCTTTGGCCAATAGGTGTTATTTCGATTTTTAGTTTTGTATTGAAAGCCAAAAAACTGCTCATAGATTATAATATTACCACTATTTTTTAAATAATTGGTCGACTATAGCAAAACAGTTTATATTTTCGTGGGCAACGTATTTAGTTGGCGCATTTAGATATCAAAAACCCGTGTACTTACAACATTTACACTGTGAAGTCAAAACGTCAGTAAGAAAGCGAGTATCCATGAATTTACACCATGTAAAAGTAGTATAAATTATTACTTCGCAATTACCCTGCGTACATGACTCCGAATAATATTATCTATGATGTTCTAATTTCGTTGGTACTTGCATCTTGTGACGTAACAACGTTACAGGTATTTTTACAGTAGTGACTCGGTGAACCGCCTTCGGTCTTCGATCTACATTGCAYGAATTCGTTAAAACAAAAATTCGTTTACATAATATGTACGCCCAAAGTGTGTATACCTATATTTATATTTCGCTAGGAGACTGCGTACTCGAGAATGATCAAACATTTGTGCAGTTAATAGTTATAGGTATATAATAGTTATGCCGTCGTCATGTACCTAGTTAGCGAAACGAACGAATTTCGTAATTTTCACGGACGATCGTAGTAATTAAGGGCAAGTTTAAGCTCCCGGGTATCATATATCATTATACCTACATTTATTTATGAATTAATGGCAATAATATTATGTTTCGGCATGGTTATGATACAAAAGGCGTATTAATGTAAAAAGAGCGTCCAATGTAGGCAAAACAGGTGCTCGTTTCGCGGTCAGCCTTTCGTGCTTATTTAATATCAATATAAATTTTTAATACGGTCGTTTATTTTCTCGTTTCACAATATTCGATTTGCATGTGATTTATGTGCATACCGGGTCTTAAGTCACGGAGTACACTGCGCCTTTCACCAAAAACTATTATTATAACTATCGGTAATTTCCGACGATTCCGATCTGAAACTCGTGTGTGTTCGTGCAGTAATTGCGTAACGACACGTGTGCACGTGTAAGGTGTACAACGATTATAATTTATAAATCATAAAATATGATAATATTCACCGTATAATAATACATTGTGGTGAAATTTAAATTGTTGCAGATTCGACACCGAGAACGGCATCAAACAAGAAGAAGTCGGTTACGCTAAGGCCGGTCCCGAGGGCCCCGTCTCAGTTGTCCAGGGTGCAAGTTCCTACGTGGCCCCGGACGGTTCGGCCATTTCACTCAGTTACACCGCTGACGAGTTCGGTTACCATCCATATGGCTCCCATCTGCCCACTTCACCACCAATTCCAGCAGAGATCCAAGAATCTCTCAAATTATTGGCTTCTCTGCCCAGCACACCCGAACCTCAATACCAGTAAACCGCCTCCTAAGAACAGTTCCGCTCTTTTCATCCTATATTAATGTCATATAAACTTTTTAAATTATATTATCAATCTTCGTCTYACCTTTTCAATGTTATAAGTCACCCTGATCGGATCGTCATCGTATATTRTGCACTGTACCCACACCATTYGTTGTACATTTATTACTAGTATGTATTATATTGTTATGTATAATTATATAATATTACTACAAATTTACTATCGTATCTTTGCAGATATGAACGTATATAATAYATAATGTGTTTTTAAAAACTAATCAATTGCGTTTTTATTTAATTTCTGTTCAAAAARCAACCTCACGAAATTAACGAGAAAAAAATCAACAATACCTAACTATATAGAAATTAGAAATTACTAATTGCACACACTGCAGTGGGCCAGTGGCTCCATGCCAAGATAAACGAAGTAAAGCTATTATCGAATTATCCTATGACTTGTGTCATATTTGAGGTGTCTGGCCTTTTTAAATGTTAAATTTTAATTTAGAATACTTCTCAAAATATTAATCTTAAATTTTAAATAAATAATATCTCACAAACCGTGTAAAATTTTAGTAGAATCAAGGATCTAATAGTATTATATAATAGAAAAAATGTATAGGCTACTAAACTGTTTTCTGATTTATATAATATATGCAATGACTTTGTATAAACTCAAAAGACAAAATTTACTCGACCGATTTTGACGCAAATATCAGGTATTATTTTTAAAGATAACAAAAATATTTTAAGAATAGTTTGACCCATGTTTAATTGGTGGAACTATACAAATTTTTAAAAATATTTTTGTTGGTTTCATGTCATAKGTATAAAGAATAAACTATACATTTTTATCTATAGGTTGATTAAGTTATTAACACGTGCAATATGCAATGTGCAAATGTTTTCTGTTAATATTGTGAGATTCAATTTGCTCTACATAAAAAATACAAGAAAAATATTTATTATTTTATATTTAATGAAAATGAATCAAATTATTTTACATAATAATATACCTATATATTAGCTATTAAGCGGATTATTKATCCCTGGTTACGAAGGTGGAGGCGTAGTTAAACGATAATTATACTGTGCATACTATGGTGAAGTGTAATGAATAATGATCAACGAGTTATATATTTTAATATTGATTACGTCCTTAAAAAATATCTAAAATTTCTTTACACTATATAGTTGAAAGTAGTAACCTTAATATATCTGTGCAAAGACACCTCGGGTCAGAAATTGAGAATTGTTAGATATATACTCAAATGATATAGMATTTTAATTTTTAATCATACATCGTTGTTCAGTTACAATTTTCGACTAAAATCTAAGCCTTATCAGCACAACCTTTCCCGAGTACATCCTAAAAAAGTCCGTTTGGTTGCCGTTAGGAATTACCCGACAAAAAGTCTATATTATTTTTACCTACTTCCCTTAAAAGCCAAATTTGTTTCTATTATTCTGTTATTCCTTATTTTGTATCATGATTCTGGATCTGCTATTGCCTAAGTTACTTATTGTGTAATAATGTAACTGTAAGAGAGTGTAATATTATATCCTACTTTTAATAATATCAAATATAGATCTGTACCCTATATGGTGGRTGAGCACGATCGCGAGTGCATAGTAATTGTCATTTACATTTAAGACAAAAAAGGAGTACCGAYCTCTTTAATACGAAAATGCTGCAATTTATCCGAATATTATTATTGTTATTTAATTTCTATATAATATCTGTAAATTCATTATATTGATGTAAAATCAATCATCTATGACAATTGCCAATTGTTGTAGACGACGGAGACAGCGTTAACGATCCTAAAATTTAAATAAGTAAAGTAAATATGAAAAAAAAATATAGCGTTCCTGTAAGTTTTATTTTTTATAAATTACAATATTTTCAGTTCAAAGCTGTTTTCACGTCGGCGCAGCGGTGGTGCACTGTGCATACTGATACGGCACGACATTCGCTGAAAAAATTGATATTTAGTTAGAGCCGAGTAAAGAGCGGAGGTCCGCAATTAGTTTCTGCAGAGGAATGTCTTTAAGAAAAAAATAACGAGGTCCTGAGACTTTTTTTTGCTCAATAAATTATTTTGGGATAGTATAYTATATAAAATGCTCAAGTTGTTTACATTGACCGTATCATATACAAAATTAATTCATGAATGTAATTTATGAATTATTTTTTAAGGTTTCATAATAAAACATATTCCAGAAGAAACAACTCTTTTAATTTATAAAGGGGTTATAGGATRGTTTAAACATTCYGAAGACAGATATGAATGGTGATAATAAAAGCATAATTCAAATTATCATGAATAAAATGAAAATTCTTAGTTACTACCAGATTAACATTTTTCATTCAACATGTACAAATTATAAAGACACTAAAAAACAAAATAATAAATTCATAAAAGTAAATTTATTTTGTAATAATTGTTTGATATTAATATTTAACTATTTAGTAATAATTAATTATAATTTGAAAATTCCTAAAAAAATGTAACTGTAACGCAKGTTAATAACCTTGTTTGTTGATCCGTTAAACAATTAATAAAATTATATAATTTGAAAACTAAATTTATGTTATTTTGATTTATTTTACTTTTTAACGTTAAACTTTTCATGGAAATTTTAGTATTGGTATTATTATAATTCTATTATTAAAATTTAATTTAAAAACATATCACAATGTATATAATCATCATTTATAACTAAAAGGATAAATATAATTTGGTAATGAACCATTTTGGGCAGCAATAGGAACATAATACATAGGTCGCTTTTATAAACTCATTCAAGGTGAAGCTCGGTGAAAATAGGATATTATTGGGTCCTTATAGGACATAATAGGAAATTAAATTAGAAGTGTTCATTGTTTTGACCCTAATAGCCAATAGGTAGTGTAAATTTAGATGATCTTAAAATAGGCATGCCTATTTTATGCTACAATCCTTCCTATAAAACAGGAGTTTTTAGGATATTAAACAGGATATTATTGTTARGGAATTCAACTCAAACTGCCAACTGGATGGTCAAATGATAGATAAAAAAAAAAATGGTAAATTTTTTATATAAAATAATTTCCATTTACTAACGTTGTATATCTATATATAATCTACTCATTATGATTATTTAAAATTTAAAAAAATCAGTATTGGATTTGGAGGTAAGAATTCTAATTTCTAAAGCATATTTTTTAAATAGTATTTAKTCTCGATTATAATGGTAAGATGGCGCTATTAGTATAAGTGAAAAWTTTTATTTTACAAATTATGTCGAAATAGTACTTATAAAAGTAAACTATTATCATTTAGTAAAATAAATTATATTATGACTTATGAGTATTTTATTGTTGCAAACATTATCCTTACTATTATTAATTTAAAATAAATAAATTTTACTTTCAACTTGAACAAATACAAGTTATTATTTTTATCATACCTCTAAATAACAATACTCTGTATATCAGGTTCGAACCTATTATAGCCCAGTTGGTATACGTATCAACTATATTATTATTATATGGGATTATATTGAAATAAATAAATAATATACATTGTTACATCAAAAAATTATCATGCTTGATTTGCAATCAAATTTTAATTAGAATTATACCAATTATATAGGTATTTGCAAACAGTATTATGTACGTTTTGGTTCTAACTAAAAATTCGCAGTAAAAAGTTTTTTACAGCTTCTTCTTCGATTAGCTGATCATTATTACAGAACAGAAAGTGTCATCATTTATATTGCTTAAAGTTAATTTAATTATAGTTATGTGATAACTTAATAATCATTTTGTTTTTACACTAGCGGTGTATTTACCCCCCTCCCCTTATTGTGTAACAAACAAACCTTACCCCAATGATGATTTTTTTTTTGTTACTTCTATTACACGTCCCTGCATTTATTATCAAAACAACATAGTAAAATAGATAATTTTATTAGTTTTTAAGTTAATAATTTTTCGTAATACTGAATGAATTGACCTTCACGTGTCACACCGAAAATAATAAATAAGCGAAGATGAGATTATTGAATAAATTTGAATAAAAAAAAGATTACCTGTTTTTTAAGTTTTAAAAAAATATCTAATTTTGACATAATTTATTACGTTTTGTTATTATTATTTATAATGTGAAGTACCTTACTCCTTATTATCCCTACTCCAATACAAAATAAGGCATCCTCGTTTTTTTTTCATGTAATTATTATTATTATTATTATTTTGATCAACTCTATAACCGTTATTCTAATAAGGAAAAAACAAAAGTTTTTGTTATAATATTAAACAATGAGGGTCAACAAAAATTAAATTTTTTATCCCTTTGCGACAGTCCTAAATACACCTCTGGACTTTAAAACTTTAAGACCTTCAGATAAAATACGTTGTATATCAATCAATAGATAYTAATATCAGTAAGCTGTACGAAAAAATCATTAGAACTTATAAAGTTAACAAGAACCAAATGATACAAGTAAGTAGAAAATACATTTTATTATATTCTGTATACATTACATTAATGTATACGACAAAAGATACCATTGCCGTCAACAGTCACTGTCTTTGACGACTGCCGAACATTGAATGCATTATTATGTAAATAAAGTATATTATACTGATAAAATAACAATACATATGGCGATATAAATATATCAATTTATTGTCAATTGTTATACAATATAATAATTGTCAAGGTTGAATATTTAATTTTAAATCATTTTCACACTTGTTTTTTTACCACTGTTTAGACAATGAAGGTACCCAATGTCGTATTTAAGATATATAATTAATCTCATAGGTACTTAATTTTACCTAATAATTAAAGTTATGAGTGTGTAGCTCTTTAACATGAAACAAATTAATATTTTGAGATAGGTATAACTTAATAACTTTGTTCAATTCTTTGAATTCAATATTTATTAGTACAGCTGTATATATCTATAATTATTAATTTACTATTATCTGCAGTCTATAGGTTATAGTTAGTTAAAATTTCTTGATTTTAAGATTCGTATATTTTGTTTAAAATCACTAGGTATAAACACTAAAAAACTTATAAAATTTACCAAAAACTCACGTTTCACTCTTACATAGATTTCGTYATGACAAAAATGTTCAAATCCCTACGCTTTTAATTCATATTTTTTTACAAAATTTTAACTTCAAATGATCATTAAAATTATTGTGCCCTTGCAAATTATTTATTTGTTTAAATTTTAGAATAAAAACCTAAGATGAATCTTGTGTTAAATGTTCAAGATT